CTTGCACTCTCTCTGTCAAAGATAAATACTTCTTTAAAAAATAATAATTTCTAAAAATTTCAGTACCTCTCCAGAGTCATTTGGACAGTTACACGTACAAATTCTTGAGAACTGAAGTGTCCATTTTACACATCAGTACGTTTTCTGTTACCCCCCATGAGTTATTTCTTCATTATTTCACAAAGTGTTATTCAAGCACATGTATTAAATATTATAGTAGACAATAGTGGCTACAATGCATCTGTTTCTTCTATTATATATACAAACACGTATACATTCTTGCTAGCATAACTGCTATTCAGCTTCTAGAATTTAGTTACAAGTTCTTTTAACGAAGGACCATTGGTCATTTCTTTTATTTTTTTTCCCAATAACCTATCCAAAGCTTTCAGAGCATATATCACATAAGCTTCCCCCTCTGCTACAAAGATTACATCTAATTTATCTGTGCTTGTGACCTGTATAACACATAGCACATTTTAATCATAAGTGTATACTGAGTGAAGGAATGAGAGAAAAATACACATTAAACTTTTAACCAACACTTACATAATATATAAACATTAATTTTTACAATAAGCATTACATATATATTTTCAAATTGGAAGAACAAATAGAGGAAAAGGTGTTACAAACTCAAGTAGCTTAAATAAATACTTTATTAACCCAGAAAAATGATATAATGCCTGGTAGTAATAGCCTTGTATCCTAATTCTAACTTCAAAAGCATCAATAATTAAAGCCTTGTATTTATTTCACAAAAGCTGCACATAGTATAGCATATTAAGTAATTTATATAGATTAAGATGTCTTAATCCATAGAACAAATATATGAAGGTAGAGATATGGAGACAGGATCATAGAGAAGGCAAGTATAATGCCCTCAATACAGAGTTAAATCATGGTAGAATCCGGTTTTAAAACTAGTCAGTCCTATTCAATACTCATTTTTAAAAAGATTTTCCTTATTTTTTTTAATGTTTATATTTGAGAGAATATGTGCACACGAGTCAGGGAGGGGCAAAGAGATAGGGAGACAGAAAATCTGAAGCAAGCTCCGCACTGTCAGCAGAGAGCCCAATGTAGGGCTTGAACCCATGAACTGTGAGATCATGACCTGAGCCAAAGTCGGACACCTAACTGACTGAGCCACCCAGGCACCCCTGGAAACTCAATTTTCATCAACCATATCACAAGTGGTCTCATAGATGAAAAAAACAAATCCATTTAATATGAAATTTAAAGGACATCAGGCAATCATATAAACCATTTTCTCTTTGGAGACTCAGTGAAAGATGGGTCACAAGAATATTTATTTAACTCGTGGCATAGAATTATGTCTACCTTTAAGTGTTCTTTACATGTTCTCATCCGGAGGACAGAAGAAAAGGAACTGAACTCATAAAATATAATTTATGTATATTAAGTTGTCTGCCTTCACCTTGTAGGGAAAGAGAAAAGAAGAGAACAAGGAGGGTCTGGCAATGTAGAAATGATTTCAGAGACATTACCTGTGGATGGACCCAAGAGGGTTTCATTATGAGCTGCTGGGTCCCTGGTGGCTTGGGCTTGTGGCTAGGAAGTCTCTCAGTTCATGTTCAGACCTCCTGCTTCCCAACATTCACTGGGGAACGTTACAATTGGTGGCCAGCAGCCTTCTTCTACAATTTGACCTCAATAAACTTATGCAGTCTCCCAACATAATACAAACCTTGCTGCAAATTTTGTTGGAGATGAGCACACCAACATGATCTCAAACAGACTTACAGAATAGGGAGCATGTCTGTTCTGCAGGGACAGAAGAAAGCAGGAAAGACTATCTCACAGATGTCTACATATTGGCAGACACCTCGGGCAGCAAATAGATCAGAGTCCCTGACTTAAAGAGAGCTGTTTCAGAAGGTGGGGAGAGAAGTAAAGGGGCATTACCCAGCACAAGATGCAAGGAAGGAAACCAGAATCTTAGGAAGAGGAAGAGTGGCTGAGAGGTAAACAATAAGTGATGGTGTTATGAAGAATGCACATGGTCTTCTGTGTCTGGTAAGAGCAGAACTGGCTCTCAATGGTAAAGGATGAGGGGGTCTCATTATCCCCAAGTTCACCCCATTATGTTTCACTACCAGCTTTTCCAATGATAACCGCTCCATCCTCCCTCCCCTGTACCAGTGTAAGTCCTCTCCCATCTGCCTTCCCACCATCTGTCCCTGTCAGGTAATGCTCCCACGTCAGCCCCTTACTCTGGAATATGTCAGACAATGTGATTGTTAGTAAGGGATTTCTATTCTAATTATGATTATGGATGGAAGGAAAAAGTGAATGAAAGAATCCATGGTCTAGGAGTCTGTGGAGTTGAGCATAGGGGAACTAAACTTTGGAACTCAAGGACTTAATTGACTAACTAGTTATTTCTAAATATACATCAGCCGATACAGACTTTCTTCACAGAATGGCTCCTGTTGACTGGGTTCCTTCATTTCAGGGTGAGCCTTATAAACCACACCGCTTCCTGCATTACTGGCATACTTGGTGAAAATAAGTATGCGATTTGAGATCATGAGATTGCTGACATAAGTCATCAGTGGTGGAGGTGTCTAGGAAAGAATGAAATAACTGAATCCTATTTTTTTACACTGTAATGATTTTCTTTATTTTACATCTTGAGAATATCTTGATTCAAGATATTCAATTTTTAAAAATCAATGATTTAGCTCCAAGAGTTACTTTCTGCAACGATTAACATTGCATCGTTTCAGACATTCGGTCATTAATAAATTGAGAGGTGACTAATTCTCCTCAATTAATCTACAGCCTTGTCTTAAATCATTTGTGGTATCCCAAGGTTTGTTCTCTGTCTTGCATTTCTAATTTTTCATTAGACTACATTTTAGGGATCCTGTCATTCACCTGTATATTTTGTTTACATTTCTTATACCTGAGCTCACAAAGTGATACAGTCATCTAAATGGTCTGTATTACATTACATACAATCCATTCCATTCCATACATTAAGAATGAATGAACCTATGGACCTCATCTCATGCTAATGGCAGCTCTGAACTATTAGACCCAAGAAACTGGTCTCTATTCTAAGTTACCCATTTACCCATTTTCCTATAACCTGTGGTCAGGAAGAATGAGTCCTCTTGCCTCCTATTGATTCCTCGCTTTAGGTGTTCAGTAATGTGTATTAGAGAATGGCAGGTGTTTGAACCACAAAACTGATTTCAGGATTTCAGTTGTTAATAATATGGACAAATCAAAACACAGTCTTATTAGAAATGTAAAAATGACATGGAACTTTGACCCAGAAATCACCAAAATACATTGATTTAGATCATCTTTCCCAACGCTCTTCCTTCCCATTTTTTGAAAGGACAGGCAGTCTTACATACACAGACAGTATAGACAGAAATGGATATCTATATGTAT